CCAAGACCTGTGGCATCTCCAGTCCAGGCCACAACTGTGGAAGAGATAAGCAGTTTCAGTGGCAAATAACTATTTGAAAAACCTTGTGATTTATCCATACTGGATGCATATTTTGTATCTGGTAGTATATTTTTCACATTAGCTGTTTCTTAGGATTAGCAAACCAGTGCAAATCTTGTTTCATCCCTCTCTGGGTATTTAGTGTCGCGCCAAGCAAAGCACAGATTAACATATGCTTACTTAGGATTAAGGATGATTTTTTAAAAAAAAATATCTTCTGATAGACAGTAAAATAGAATACACACAGTTCAAGGGATTCCACGGATGGGCTGTTTATGCAGTGCCAATAGCTAACCCTAAACCTCCAGTCCCAACTTTCCAAAGGCTTTGGGTAAAGCCAGATTCCAAATACCAGCAAATGCTCTTTTACCATGTTCTTAATTTGCCCCACTCACTACAGTGTTGCATATGATTGCTCCATGGCGAAGAAGAGAAGGGCTGAAGAGCAGGCTTTGGGTGTCCCAGTCAACAAAAGGAAATCCCTGCTAATGAAGCCCCGACACTACAGCCCAAACATGGACTGCAAAGGGGACCGAGACGACAGGACCGAGGATGATGGCCTCTCTGAAACAAACGACCGAGCTGCTGCAGGTAGCGAGGGACAGTGGCCCTGATTTTATCTACTCCTTGGTGTCAAAGATTCAGTCTTAATTTATGTAGAAATTATGGTTGGTATGGTGTAAAAGTATACTTGGCATTTGGAAGAAAAACCAAACATTGATTTCATTCACTACTCACCTCTTGAGGATCCATTTTTTAATTAGTATCTATAGGGAGGGTTTGTAGATGAACAGCATAGTCCTTGCCCTGAGTTCCTTCAAAAGCACTGGACTGGGCTATGATACTTTTTGAGGAAAATAAAAGCCTTAAAGGTGAAGAGTATTTTATGTATGTAATATTGTAAGTATCTAATTGCTGAAAGACTCCTTCAAATTACAGGGCTTATTTAAGCCTTAAAATACCTTTCAATGCTCAAATTCTCTATAATGTTCATTGTTGATTATCATTAATGATTATTGTGTGTGTATGTATATACACACACATATATACATACATATACACACATATATATATAGCTGAACATTTATTTTTACTTATTTATCAACATATATAGTCACATATAGTATTATTTAGAGCCCAAAATATAATTGGTTGTTGGCAACAACAACATAGACCAAGGCAGATGGTTTGTGACCTTAATATTTTTCATATTTTTGAATAAATATTTATAGCAATAGACTGTAGAAATAACCTGAAGTTATCTCCTAGAAGCTCCTTCAGTAGGAAAATTATATAGAAAATGTATCACCATGCCCATTATTTCCAAAATAAATCATTTAAATTTACCTTTAGGTACACATCATAATTCATGAATTTGATTCTTTACTCTCCTTAAACACCCTTTGCATGCTAAGTGAAATGTGATTATTTTGACGCTTTAGAATTTCTTTCTCCCCAGTTCATAGCTATTCTCACTGGTCTCGTGAGCTCACATGCCTGTAGGAGTTGGAAAATCACGGATGGCTTTGTGCATGAGACTGAAACTGAGGACATGCAGAAGTCTCAAAAAATTATGAAAAAGCAAATTCAGAGCTAAGGCTTAACTTAGTAAGAGATGAAATGAGGTATATGCATGTTCTAATAATTCTGAACATGACTTTTATGGAATCAAAATATACTAAATAATTCTTTATTTGAAAAGAAATTATTATACAAACAAAAGGGCTTAATTTCTTAGATCATAATTATTTATTATAAATAGAGTTATAGGTATTAATTTAAAAGATATAAAAGTATATTGACTGAACACAAATTTCAGGTCAGATTTATCCTATCTTGACTATCTTAGCTTAGAAGCAATTGAAGATGCTGTGTTTAAAACAAAGTTGATTCTGGTGCAGTAAATCGTCTAGCTTTTCTGTATTTGGTAGATGGTATATATGTATGTATGTATATATGTATTTACTGGATACTGAGGACTGAACACAGGATCACTGTAACACTGAGCTACATCCCCAGCCCTTTTTACATTTTAAGACAGGACTTCACTAAATTTCTGAGGTTGGCCTAAAAAAGGTTGATCCTCCTGCCTCAACCTTCCAAGTTTCTGGGATTGCAAATGTCCAATATAGTTTAAAGACTCAGGGCTCATCTATAAATTATAATCATTCTCCACATGTTTAAAATTTCCTTGAGATGGTCAGTTTTACTTGTTGATTCATGAAAATTACAGGTTGGGTCTAGTTTTAGGGAAAGTCATTGAATCACTGCAAATAGAGTTGAGGTTCAACTCACCTAGCTGGCCAAATATTAGTCAAATATTAGCCAAATATTTAGGAAAATGAGTCTGATTTTGCATCAAATACCCTGAATAAGTCAATGAGGCCAAAGACTATGTCTAGCTTGCTGTCTTCTCACCTTCTACTATAGCTATTGATCATCATAGATGCTTAACATTAGCCAAGTGAATATATTGCTCAAATGTATTTAGTTAAGCATTCAGTTATATGCACTGCAGAATGTCTATCTGCAGGTTTACAAATGCTAAGCATTTTGATTTTTAGTATTAAAACTACTTCTGATGATAATGAATATACTGAAATTGCAGCATTAGTGACCATTATTTTTTAGTTTTTCATATATTCCAGGCATACAAATTATATCACTTAATCCATACTACAGTGCCACAAAGATATATAATTATGGTCACAGTTTTACAGACGAGATCATTGGGAATCAAAGAGATTCAATGCTGAAGGTAACACAGCTTATATATAATAGAAATAAAATAATTAGGAAACCATTGGAAGGACAAGCAAAATAATTATTTTCCAGTTAACCATGCTCTGTAATCCAATGCTCCCTTTCCTCTGATACCTTCAGAATGCTGACAGGCAAAGTTTGACAATATCAAATCATTAAGTCTCAATTTCTAGAAATGGCAGGTCATAGTTGTTCCTATCCCTGGTAAACAGAGCAAAGATTGTAAGTTGCTTCAACCCTCTTCAACCCTCTGCACAAGTTACCCCTACCCGCCAAAAGGAACCAGAGCTAAGCTAGTGCCCAACCTAGCAGAAGTGCTTTCCATCTAGCTTCTCATTTACTCTGGGTACTCCAGTATCTTTACCTGGCTAGATGTGTGCCAAATTTTATCCTCAGCTGGGACATTCATAATGAGGGTATACAGTGCTCATGAAGGCTAAGGTCATTTATAAACATCTTCTTCCAACTTATGACACAAACTACATTCCATATTCTCAACTAGCTGTCTCAAAGAAATGCAGGTGGGCATTTAAAGGGACAGAAAAGAGTGTGGACAAAACCATACAAATATCCCTTCTTCACTGGGAATTTGAGCTTGCAAGCGCTATCCAGAAGCAGGACAAGAACACTTTCCCAATGCAGACAGGGAGAATGAGAATCAGCTCAAAGTGGAATTAACCAAGAAAGTGCATAGAGTTCCCAGCAACATGACCGAATGCTCAATGATTCAAGGAAATCTAGCCTACTCATAGAAGTTTTAGGGGTTGGAAAGATACTTTTAACAGATCACCTCTCAATGAATAGCAAATAAGGAATAAATCACTGCAGTTTCAGAATTTTGAATGATGAATTAATTTTTCTGGAGCTTTTTATTCCTGGTAAAATTTGGAACTTCAAAAGGCCTTGAAAACTTAAGTTGCCTATAAAAGTAAACTTGATAGTTAAAGAAACAGAACTGAAATACAGTGATAATAATATCCCATTATACAGAAGAAGTCTATTCAAAACATATCGTGATTTTCAGAGGATTTTTTAAGTTGTTTTCAAAACAGAATAGCCAATGTGTATGTAAGAATTCATCAGTGTATTGCTATAGGATTACCAAAGTATAGACCTTGGTTTAATGTAAACAAACAGGTGTGAACTTCTATATATGAGGAAAAAGCATTTTTAAAAATCTGTATACAAGGAAAGCCTCCCAGTCCCACTTCCTTCCTCCCCCATACTTTGAGATGCACACAGAACAGAGAAAGGCCTGCACTGTTCACAGTGACCCAACTACTTGGCTGTGTCCCCAAGGACACAGGAATTTTCCCACCTATCATGTTTATAGTACTAGCAAAGTCAAGGTTGGTTTGCTTGTTAGTTTTAGTGTTGTTGTGTTATTTGTTTTGTGTGTTTTTTATCTGTAGGATACAGATTATCTTTTTCCATATTGCATATTAACAATGGTATTTCTAGTTCCTTTGTGTAAATTCACTCTTTGTAAAAATCTTTTTCCACATTTTTATTGGTACATTATAGTTGTATATAATGATGGGATGTTGCTACATATTTATACATGCACACAATATAATAATATAATTTGGCTAAATTCACTCTTGAAAATATTCAAACTTAGGAAAAGAATTGGCTGTGAGTAATGATAGCAGTTTTTCCTGGGAGTGGCTGTGTTTGGTAAACGTCAGTCATGGCACTGGTATTCTTAGGCTTTAGGTTGTAGAGTAGCATGTCATAGAGGTGAGGACATAGAGTTGAAGCCAGGTGGCCATAAGTCTAAGGCCCAACCCTCCGCTGAGTAGCTATGTGGTTTTGAGCAAGCCCTTAGCTCCCTAGAACTGTGGCTTCCCATCTATAAAATGGTCTAGAAAGGACCTTTCTCATAGTTATTGTGAAGATTAATTGAAATAACAAATGGAATACCTTGCCAGGGACATATCAATTTATTGTCCTAAAAAGGGTCGTTGAGTCATCCAGTTATTGGGTCATTGAACCATCCTTAGTTTGAAGATGAGGAGCCTGTACTCGGGAGACCAAGGACCTGATCAGCATCATACAAGCAAGCAGCACTGGGCTAGCAACTTGAACCCAGGCTCTGGACTTCACACTCCATGGATTTGTGCATGATGCATTGGCTGCCAGTTTTCAAAGGCAACTGCTGAACCATTCCAGAGTCTGTATGGGTGGTGAATCCACTAAACCTTCTCATCCTGTGGACCTTGACTTCCTTAGGCATTAGTTTTCCTGGTCATTCTAAAAGAAGAACAGTCCCACCCTTCCACATGCCCTCTGCCGTTACTACTGTTTTTAAAAATAATATCCAGGAAGGGGAAGAAGAGCCATCATTTACAGAATGCCTGTTAGCTGTTCCCATGTGACTTCACAGAGTGCACACAGGGTGACACTGCTGTCCTCCGGGTTTGAATAGAGACACCAGGCTTAGATGAGCTGAGCTACTTGTCCAATGGTCACAGAGAGGAACACCAGCATTAGAACTTGACCTTTGCTCTGTAGCCTCTATAGACAAGGCTACTTTAGTTATTTCAGTGGCAAAATACATCACGGTCCCACCCAGGAAAATAAAAAATAGCCTTTAAAAAGAAAAGGCAAGTGGCCCATCACAAAATGAGAGAAACCCACATGTGCTCACTGATCTGTCAAATTCAAAAGCAAACTCAGATTTTTCCTTATGACCATAGTGAAAGCCAGGTAGGTGTTTGGGAACGTGGAAAGTTGGTTTGCAGCTTGAAGAGCATCCCCAGAAACCAGCGCATGAAATGCACGTAGGCACCTCTGTCGGCGGGCTCCTCTTTTTCTGAAGAATAATTAATAAATATTTTCTTTTAGCATATAACAAACAGTTGAACCAAACAATTATGTAAACTGGAAATGACCCAAAATGCTAGCAGTTGGCAGCCGCACAGTGAAGTGCATTGTCGTGCACATGTGCATGTTTGTCACACCCGCCTCTCTGGTGATCTGCACTTAATAGGAATATTTTAAACTATGTAGCTAAGCAACAGAGGTAATTGTTGCTTTCTAGAGCTTTTGTTAGCACTCTAACACAGCCCAAATATGCATAATTAGGTATAATGTCTATAAATCATTATTGTACACATGTGGGTAGTTAAGTGGAGTGAGAGAATAGTTCAATGAATTGAGCATATTCACTGAAAATGCTTTTTATTTGTTTTCTGTAGTTCATAATACTTTAAAATTATCATAACCCTTTACACTTTCTCTTAATAGCCAACCGTGATATTGAGAAAAACTTCATTTGCATTTTAGACTATGTTTAATATATTATTTAAACCTGGAGTTCCTCTGATATGAATTCAGGAGAGGATAGGCCCATCCTATCAAATATTGTGTGCCTGTTTATCCAGCCTCTTTTCTAGGAACTAAAATGTTAAATTTTTCAGTTTACGTTGAATAGATCCCAACAAAAGACTGCACCCTATAATCAGCATTATTTACAGGGGCCAGTGTTGTGACTGAATTCTTCCCTTCATCCAAAAATGCTTTTAGTTACTATGGCAATATTTACTTGATCCTGGCAGTCCAGTGTTGATTTAGGAAGATAATTACCAGAAAGGAAGATGATGGAGATGTATTTTTGAGTGTCCTTGTCAGAGACAATGTTTATAAAAAATTAACTGAGACAAAAAAGGCACATTGTCTTCCACACAGACACCCTCTTCCACAGCCCTCGCACCAATAGCTGTTCTTTTCTTCCTCCAAAGATGTTTATTAATACAGAATACACTTCACTTGGTGTCTTTAACAGTCTTAAAAGGGGATTATTATTTTGTATTTCCCATCCCCCCATCCTGCCTTTCAGATACAGAAACAGTTCATCTTTTTCCTCTTTGTGTGTGTGTGTGTGTGTGTGTGTTATTTTATTTGTCCTAGTGGGTGTCAGAGAACCATTCTTGAGGTATTTGGTGCATTTCATAACCTGTTGTTTGCTGGGCACCCCTCCACATGCTTTGGGTTGGGATTGGTGTCCCTAGCTAGTCCAGACCCTCAGTTGGTGCATATGCACTGGGGTAGGATTGAGTAAGCTCACCACTCTATATCTAAACTGTCACCCTCAATCAGTGAAGGGAGGACTCTGACAGCTTATCTTAGGATGGCAGCCATTTCTCTGTGTTGGGCAGACTGGCTTTTGGGGCCTGCTCCAGGTCACAGGGTACCTTGACTTTCAGAACCCAAGATGGGGGGGTTCTGTACAGAGGACAACTAGCTTGTCTCCAGCCTCTCCAATCAACCCCTCCCCTCATCTCATTTTCTTTCTACACACATGCACACAAGTATCAAACCAGGAAATGTGTTACTATTTAAGCTACTATCTGATAATCCTTATTATTCCTGTTTATGTTTTCCTCAATATGGAACTTTAGTGTGACAGTTGCAGAGTAAACAAGAAACCTGAAAGCTTCAGAGTTCCTTCAATTATCATCTCTATGTAGATGTATTTTGTACCTTAATTAATATTCCATAAAATCTGAGAGTACATCTGAGAAAAATGGAGAACATCAACCAAATAAGCTTTGAAAATATAATTCCATGCTAACACAGTGATCTGATGAATATTTTAGTTACAATATATAGTAGTATGTATATTCAATTCTTCTCATTGGCTAAGATGTGGGAATTCATACAATAGGTACAATGGCAATCATTTTACATCTACAACTCTACTGTTGTTAAATATCATCTTTTTGTCTTGGTCAGTACCCCAGAAGCACTTAGCTCTTAATGTATGAAAATTATAATAGTTAATTAAATTAAAGACAATTTCAGAATATTAAGCTTTAAGTTTTATTTTAAGAGCATATATATTTTTCTAATGTTTATAAAATTAATAGCGACCACATGTTACACATATTAAGTATGTATTTGTGTGTATATATATGCATGTGTGTGCACATACATATGCATGGGGCTATATATTTGTGTATATGTGTGTGTGTGTGTGTGTGTGTAATATTTTTCATTCTTGATTTCCAAATATTGATGTTCTTTTTCTATAGAAGAAATCATGATAAAACCTGCGGATGAGAATCTTCATTCAACTGCACAAGAAAACTCCCCTCGGAAAGAAGACCAATATACTTGTTATCAAGAGCTGGTAGTCAAATCTCTAATGCACTTGGGGAAATTTGAAAAAAATATGTCTGTCCAGACTATAAGTGAAAACCTCAATGACAGTGGCATCCAATCTTTAAAAGCAGAGAGTGATGAAACAGACGAATGCTTTATGATTCATTCTGATGATGGAAGAGACAAAGTGGATGATTCCCAACCCCCATTCTGCTCTTCTGATGACAGCGAAAGTAACTCTGAAAGTGCAGAGAATGGGTGGGACAGTGGCTCCAACTTGTCAGAAGACACCAAACCTCAGAGAGGCCCAAAGTACATGTTAGCAGATAAGAAAAAAGATCTACTGGAAATTCCTGAAATAAAAACAGAAGGTGACAAATTTATCCCTTGTGAGAACAGGTGTGATCCTGATGCAGACCGGAGAGAACCGCAGAATGCTCATGTGGAGCCCTTGGATAGCAAAGCCCAATCTGCCTTCCCTGAGACTGAGGAAGAAGACAGGGAGAGCCTGGCCACAATGTCAGAAGAAGCCAGTGATCTGGAGAAAGCCAAGGGGAACCTGAGTTTGCTGGAGCAGGCCATCGCTCTGCAGGCTGAGCGAGGCTGCGTTTTCCACAGTACTTACAAAGAGCTGGACAGATTTCTGCTAGAACACCTGACGGGGGAAAGGCGGCAAACCAAAGTTATTGACATGGGTGGAAGACAAATCTTTAATAACAAACGTAAGAAAACATTTTTTTTTCATTTATTTTAGGATAAAATTACTTTAGGGTTAAGAGATTAAATTTTATTATTTCTTCCAGAAAGCTTTTTGACCGCTGAATGCTCTTTTAAAGTCCCAATTCATAACTGGGAAATAAATAATTTCTTATTTTTACCCCCTACTCTCTAGATTATTATTGAATCAAATTTGATTCGTTTTGCAGGAACTTCACACCAAAAAAATATTCATTGCATGTATTTTTAAAATGTAATAGCTTTTTTTAAAATTTTATTTTTTCTTCTAGCAACTAGATACAACAGCATTTACCATGTAATTGCTTTTTAAAACAAATCATACCTTTAAAAACTACTTTATTGGATATTGTTAGTAGTAGCACTTGTTGCATTTCAAATCATTTTAATTATCAAATTAATTCCAGAAATTTAATTTTTCTTTCCTACTCTCCTTCAAAATCATCTGGAACCTTTTGAGCTTCAAAATGATATTAAGTTACTTGTAAGCCAGGCAGGGTGCTCTGATCCTTCTTGGGATAAAACTGGGTTTAAAATGTGTTTGTAGTCTTACCAGCTTTCTGATGCAGGGCCACAAATATCTGGGTCAAACTCGAATTGACAGAGTGAACATACTTTGAGGATACTTTAAAATTGCTCCTCAGTCTTTAACAAAATTGTGTCCCCTTTTCCCCATGGAATATTCTGCCCATTTTTCTACCAGGTCTCACACCAGATAGGCCCAGTGGATTCCAACAATTACATGCAATTTCCCAGGAGTCTCGCAGGGCCTAGAAGTCACATTTAAGATGGTTATTTCCAGGAGCCAGATTCAGAGCCCCATGGTTTGCTTTTTTTTTCAATAGTTCTTAGGTGATTCTCAGAATTAGGGGGAGAATATCTTAGAGAAAATCAAGATCATAGATCTAAAGGGCTTATAGGAATG